ATCAGAAAATCTGGAATTTTCTGAAATGCAAAGAGGCAGCTTCAGAAGGTTTGAAAAAGGATAATTTTATGGAACTGGTAGACTAGGGAAAGCAGAAGAGGTGATGGTAGTGGTGAATATTTACTTAAGGGATTTTTTTCTGTTGTGGAAGGAAGTGGAAGTAAAAACTAGTTGAAATACTTTCTACCTTTCTCCATTTGTTTTCCACTGCTCTGACCTTAAAAAGTGTCTGCCCACAAATTTGCTTATGTTAGTCCCTTTACTCTGAATAGACTCCCCCTGCTTATATAGCAAATCAAAATTTTTCCCAAATTCTTCAAGAGGTCTTCCTCAGTTCTCCAGCAGAATCCTTCTTTCCTGCCTCTCTATAGCCCTTCCATATAACATTTACTGGGTACCTCAATAGTATAACTCAATAAGCTCTCATAAACGTCATCTCTCTAAACCCTCAGAGTGCCAGCAGGAGTTATGATAAACTTATCATGTTAAGAATTTGCCACTTTTTCCAGGACACACTCCGTTGTAGGGAATGGGGTAGATTTTAACACAAATCTGTGCATTATGGTGCCTCAAAATAAGCATCTTTTACTAGACAAAACCAAATATACCTCACAGATAAACTGTTCATGCACTGTATTTTTTTTAAAAAAATATTTATTTATTTATACAAGCACTTGGGTATAGGCCAGAGGTGTGAGAGGGTGAGAGGATTCACCAGAGATGGAGAAGGGAGCAGAACACGCAGAAGGACCAAAACACACTGCTGAAGGGAGCAGCTGGCAAGACAGGAGAGGTCTGCGGCACCATATGCACTGTATTTTTTATAAAAGCAATTTGTGCTGTATTGAAGGCATTTACATGTGTAGATGTTTCTCACTAGGTTATGAATCTTTGAATATCAGGAACCAGGTGTTTGATTTTCTATGTTACTTAAGAGGTCCTAGCAGGAGATGCTACTACCATAATTGATACCTAAGACCATAATTGATATATAAGTTGCTAATTGAATAATTCAAAACTACTTTGTTTTTATCTTTATTTACATCCTTCCTGCTATTGCCCTGCTACTCCTGGAGATAAATCCTTCCATTTTTTTTTCCAGAAAGGACTTAGGATCCCAACTAAACTTCCTTATTAATGTGCGATACATTTTGATTCCTGCCATCTGGGGCCTTTTAATCATGGGGACTTTTAAGAATGGTTCTGGTCATTAGTTTTCCCTTGGCCTCTCCTGGAAGGAAAATTAGAATCAACTAGACAAGTGCAGAACTACCAACTTGTTTAGAAGCAATCTAACACAGGGGTCAAAAACCTGGATTTTCCCTTAGATGAAGCTGCCCTGCTATTATTGCCTTCCCTGAGCAAGTTGCTCCATCTGTTAGTCCCTTAGATTTTTCAACTGTAAAAGAGATAATCATTCTTTCCCTGAGAACTGTAGTGAAAATAAGTCTCAAACCAAAATTTTGATACCTGTCACCCTTCCCCAACCTGGTCTTCCTGGTTGGGGATCGCCAACTTATATTTTCTGTGACCAGAAAAAACACCTCCCTTTCTTCAAGTTTCACTATCAGTCTACCACCGTGTTCTATGAATTATACCTCTTGGAAAAATCATCCACTTCCCTTGTGTCACCAGTTACCACCATCCTACACCTAGCTATCTCACCAAATCCACTGTCCCACTCCTAACTTTTTACTCTAGCTAGGGACATCTTTCAAAATTTCAAAGTGAAGCTGCTCTGATTAACATATTCACAGTGGCACCAGAGACAAAAAAAAAAAAAAAAAAAAAAAGGTAAAAACAATACTTTAAATTGTCAATTGATGAAACTAATGATTTGCAAACTGCCCAAAAATAAAAATGGAAGCCAACTAAAAAAAAAAAAAAAATCAAAAGCCAAGAAAAAAAAAAAATAGATAAAAGACTCCAAGTGAAGAGCCAAAGGAAATCCTAGGTGTGTGTGTCAGTGAGACCATCTATATAATGATGGCATTTATGTAAAATATGTACCCTCTAGGGCAAAGCAAGCTATTTCACAGAAGTCCTCCATTAGAAACAAAGAACTACAGTCTGAAAAAAAAAAAAAATCACAGTGGCTTTGCAGTGCTACTGAAAAGTAAAGACTCTTTGGTGCAACCTGAGAGACACTGTACTCTCTAATCTTTGCCTTCAGCCTCACTCTCCTTTTCTATATGTGCTCCACAAAAGTGCAAGGCTTCCTTTGAGCTTACTAAGCATATCCTTCCCACCTTTTGCGTATTTCACCCACAGAAAGTGTTTATTCCACCCACCCCATTCTGATTTCTTCAACATTTTTTCTAGCATAACATAATGTCAAATGGCTGGAACAGTGCCAGGCTCAGGGATCTATCAGTTTATTTTAAGTCCATTGCTTTGGAAGGGTTTGATGATTCCCCTTTGCTCATAGACACATCCAACACTAGATGGATCCCTTTGATATAAATTCTCATATTATCCTTATATTATCTTCATATCTCTCAGCGTAAGTTTTAAAATTTACATTTCTGTGATTATTGGGCAATATCCAAATCACTGAAATGTAAGATCCTTGAGGAATTGTGTCTGTTTGCTTTTTTTTCCCTAGCACTTAATACAGTACCTGGCACATAGCACAGGCTCCATAAATAATTGCTGAATGAGTCTGTGCTGTATACATGGCAATCATTGTCCTGAGTATTGCCTGACTCTCAGATTTCATATGAAGAGCTCCATTTTCAAAAATTCAGAGTAAGTGTAAATCATGAACCTGTTAATCTTGAATAGTTACCTGTGAAATGAAATAATTTTTTTTCAAATTCACCTATAAAATGAAATAATTGTACCTGCCTTAAGAATTTTTATGAGAGTTAGTGAACTAATGTGATGTCAAGTAGCTGACAGAGCGCCTGGCAGCCAAGGCTCCATCATTGTTGGTTAGTAATGACTGGAATTAATATAGGCCAGATGGTCATGTAAACAATCTTAGTGAAAGCAATCAGTGTCTCTATGCCAAATCGGACGACCGTAATTTGGAGGACAGAACTCAAAAGGAGGTCTTTGGCTTCCTTCTTCAGCCTGCACCCCTCATCTCCACACCCCATCCCAGGGGAGGTGCCCAGGAATTTTAGATCCCAGGGAGGGGTTGGTCCTGCAGTGAGGTGGTAGTGAGTGGACATCTGGACTGTGTTGCCCATGGGCCGCGAGGCAGCTCAACCCCAGGATCGCAGCAGAGGGCCCCAGTCTGGGCTCCAGCTGGCATGGGCAGGGAGCACTGGGGGCTCCGGTTGCCCCGGAGGGAGGCTCCGCCGGGGATGCTAAGGGTTGGGAGCCAGGTGGAGGCCCCTAGCTCAGCCACGCGCCACAACTTTCCTTGGTCCCGCCACACGCTGCGCCTGTCTAGTATCTGCCCGGCAGGGTCCCAGGAAGTCGACGCCAGGTGCAATAGCGCCCCACTGCCCTCTTCCAGCCGGTAGACACCCGACAAGTTTGGCTCAGCCATCTCCGCTTACCACGGCCGCCCGGCCCGCATTTTCTGACTAGGAGCCCGTCCCTCTCTCCCCTCCAGGGCCAGAGGGGGTGACGGACGCACAAGCAGCGTCCCGATCTGGGGTGACTGCAGAGGAGCACGGGCGGTGTTTCATCGCGAATCGTGCGTTTTAATTGTGTTTAGGAGGATCTTTCGAATCGTCACTTCCCAGGAGGGCTACACGGTTTCTTTTTGTTTGGGGATGACTCTCTCCTCTCTCTCTCTCTCTCTCTCTCTCTCTCTCATGGGGCAACTCTTAAAGAGAAGTCTGAGACTTTCTTCTTTCCTCTTAATGCTTTCTTTAAAAATGTTGAAAACTATTGTATAAATCTTGCATGAATTAATTTTCAAACAATGCTATAATACAACAAAATGTTATACATAATAATATACTTTCTTCATTAACTATTTCTGTTAACTTTTCTGCCTCTCAAGCTTATCATTAGTTTTGAGCATTGAAAAAGTGTTCTTTAAGAACACTTTTCCAGTAATTTTCCAGTATTTTTTTTTTAAAGTTAGGGCACACCCACTAATGAAGTTAAAACTGTGGATAAATGCAAACATTAGTAACTCCACAAAGCCACTAATTTAATAGGTATTATTTATTGTTTTGGATTTTTCTAGAGCAACTTTGTGGTATCTGTGGGGTTGTCTTAAGTTAGGTTCTGATCTTAATGCTGAAAGGGTTAAAACTACCATGAGGTTATATTTCCTTACAATAGGTGACATGACTACATAAACAACCTGTCCTATAAGGTGTGGAATCAAAAAGCTTAAATTAGATGTTAGATGAAAAAAAAAGCTGAAATATTTGTTATCATGTTTTATCAGTTTAGATGAGCTGCAAGTAAATCATTCCTTAACCTTTTAAAAGATGAAAAGTTTAGTGACTACTATTTACACACTTTGAATATTTTATATTAGAGTGGTCATCACAGTTTACACAAATGATTGTATCTATCCATTTCCAAGCAACAAATATCAAGGTATCTGTGTTATTTGATGGTTAACATTTCACGCTTTTCTATAAAGGTGATGTTATATAAAACTGCAGAGATTACTCCACATTGTCAAAGGTTATTTAGAGAATAAAATTTCTCTAAATAAATAAAAGCATTGGGATAGTTTAAGAGAAATAAGGTAATGAATTATAATTGCAAAAATTATATAATAGTGTAATAGCAGTGTCTCAATTATCACATGAAATAGTTAATTTTGTTTTGTTTTAAGAAGAGGTTTTCAGAAATCCTCAAAGGTTTGTTAAACCTTTAGCAGAAGATTACAGCCGATGTTTTGTCTTTGGTGAATAGCTGTTGTCTCACTTTATTTACTTGGTATTGGATATTTGTCAATGTCATTTCATATCTACAGAAAATTCTTACGCTCTATGGAGGTAGTGAATGTGTGTGTGCGTGTCTGCCGGAGGTCACATGACAGTTTCATCCTATTTGGTGGAGCAGCTTGACTTTTTTTCCCCTTGCTTTTGGTGATGGTTGTGAGTGCAGAAGTTGATTGACAGATGCATGCCAGAAACCCCCATTCTCCTTTTCAAAGACAACATATGATGGATTGCGATCTCTCAGCCCAGCAGGACACGGGGACCATGCAAGCTGTAATTGGTCAGGTATGGAGTCAGCCATTTCTCAACTCCCCTTTTTTCCACAAGGGTCTCACCATATGATTCACATAACTCATATTTACAGTACCATCTTTCTATCTGTATCTTCAGCTACCTGCCAGCGTAGTGCTGAAAGTGCGAAAGGCAAGAGGCACCTATTAAATCCAGCCAGGAAACCTCAGCTGAAAACTTCAATGCAATGCTTACAAACAAAAACTAAAACAGCAACAACAACAACAACAACAAAAATCAAAGAACAAATTTAATTTATAATTTGGTCTGATTATTTAAGAATCTGTTTTTCCAAATTTATTTTCTGTTGAGATCAGGATCTCTGGAAGAAATAAAGTGTGAGAAAAGAATAAAGTGTTATGTTTCCTAGGTAATAGTTACCATTTTTCTGTTCAGTATTTTTATTTCTACTGTATTCTCTCTCTATGGAAAATATAACCAGATAAATACATGTGCCTTTACTTCTTAGCCAGATAATGTGTGATTGAGCCTGGTAAATGTAGTAGTGGTGTTAGCTGCTGCAGAGGGGCAGGCTGCAAATTAAACACTGCCACAATCTGAAAGGTCCAGGTGGTCTGCTCGCGCTTCCTAATGCAATCCAGCACAACAGCTTTAATAAACAGCTCTATTTAGTTCCTCCTCCCTGTATCCAGGGAGGTGAACTGGTCTGGGGCTGCTGTGATGAAATGCCAGAAGAATATCTCTCAGAGGCCTCACAAGCTGATTTTTAGAGCTTTCCTGTTCTGTCGTCTTTGTCTTCCAAATGGGTCAGTGAGTCTTGCTTTTTTCTGTTTGGTGCTTTCTGTTAAGTCGGTAGTTTATGTTTGTGTGTAAATGTTTGCATTGTGAGCTAAATCAGAAGCAAAAAGGATCATTGTATTTTCATTTGCCTTCAAATTACTGAAGTGGTGAAAGAAATGAGAGTATCCTACTGCAGAGGAGGGTGATTTTTCTGCCTATGATGGGGGTGGGGTGAGGAAAATAGGAGATATATGTGTTTTTTTTTCCTTTTTTTTTTGGTAATGTATTTTTGACCAAAATTTCTCTAACTTATCTGTGCTTACTTATGAACTGTTCACTCATAAATCAGCATATGGTTATGAATATTGATAAACTCCTAAAAGTTTGTGGTTTTTTGCACACTTTCCAATCAAGATTAGCTGGTAGAGTGATGACAGAATTTGTTTGTTGTATGTTAATAATATGGGGCAAAATATACCATTTTATTCTCTTCAACAAAATTACAGCAAGCACTTTATGTTTCTGAAAGCACATAGTTTATTAACACTAGCATGCTTCATAATGTATTTTTAGATGAAAATGTCAGGTATATAAGACTATGTTTCCACAGGCTCATGCTTCTTTAAAAGCAGATCTCTGCTTCAAGAGAATAATATTTTTTAAAACTTTCAAGTTGTTTTTTTTATACACACATATGTATATAAAGTAGAAGTCTCTGACATAATTTATCAATAGAAAAAAATGTAAAGACTGATTTTATATGCTATTAATACCCATTTCAGTGCAAATGTTCACCGGTGAGCAAGTAACTATTTAAAATAGAACTAAAATAATTTTGGTACAAGGAATTAAACAAATTCTTGTTCAAATAGATGACCTCTTTGGGAATAACTATTACTTGAGTTCCTGATAACTATCTGGTCCTGTTTAATAAAACTTTACTTAGGTTGCAAGCATGTTCTCCATTCTGAATATCGTAGTATGGCTTAATACTGTGTAAAATCAGTGTTTCAGTCCCTACTAAGAAATTAAATTTCCTATCGTATACATTTCCTTTGGTTGGGAAAAGAAAGCTTGGGGAAAAATAGGAGAGGTATTTCTAATTTGCAATTCAATTGTGGTTATTGGAAATAGTTGCAAAGATAAATACTTCTAATAGGTTCAAGTGTCTACTTTTTTAAAAGGAATCAGGCTACATTTTACAGATATCAGACTTTTCATATGTCAAGATTTAAACTTGGTTGTTATTATTAAATAGTTCTGCATTTTGTGTGTACTCTAATTTTTAAGGCTCAGTATGTCCAGGAACTATACTTATTAATGATTTGTAATGAATACTTTGTGAATAGTTATAGCTAAGTAGCTACATGTTTTCTGAAGATTTCATTCTCACAAATTATTTGTTAAGAAAAACTCAGATATGATGTCAACTTAGTAAATTGTAAAAGCAATTTTTGTGAAGGTTTGTAAAATTTTCTGTACTGAAAACATACAAACTAAAGTGCTGTTTTTGAAACTGAAATACTAAGTATTCTGAAAGAATGAAAATACTGTCCCATATGAATGCCATACAAATCAGAATACCTAAATTGAACCTATAGATATAAAAAGAAAGCTGGCATACATATTCAAAATAATTTCCTTTTAATTGTTACAGCACAGATAAGAATATTGACTCAAATGACAGACTTCAAAAAATGAGGGAAAAAACCATGATTTTTTTTTTTTTTATTGCTGTATAGTCACTCAGAACTAGAAAGGGATAGTTTGTTTTTCAGATCTTGATTTTGGTATCATCTTATACCTACTCAGCAGAAGTGAACGGTCCCATTTGATAATGCAAATGTTTGTGTGTGTTCCTTATCTAATGACACTGAAATGATAATTATTTTTGTCCTTTTTTCTCCCCGTCCTGAATTCTGTTCCTAAATGGCTTTGGGTCGAAGGAGCAAATAACCAGTTTTCAATCATGTTTTCCATTCAGAATAATGAAATATTTCCATGAAATGTAATCTCTAGGTTTATTCATCCTCCTTGAGTATCAAATACTCAGTTGCTTCCACTGGAGGGGAAGAGTAGACTTCTCTGTGTTGTTAGCCATGATCCAGCTCAGGAGAGTATACTGGCTTCATGGAGCAGATATTGCTCATATATACCTTTCCCCCAGGATTTTTTCTCCCCCAAGCAAGCAATTAAGCACTCTAGTACTTAGGAATAAACTCCCCTTTTAGTATATCAAGAACAAGAGACTTGGTTCATTCATACTATTTTTGGAAATCAAACCAGATTTTTGATAGTTATCTTTAGCAAGCTTCCTAACCCTTTGCACCGCAGGATGGATTGTTACCTTCAGATGATTTTTAAATCAATTCAAAGTAAACCGTTAAGCAGGTTCTGAGTCATGGGTTTGAATATCATTTAAAAATAAAGACTCAAATTGCCCCCTCTCCAGGTCATTAAATGTTTACTTCATCTTTTCTTTTTTGCAGACCTGAGCTTGTGAGTGACAGATTAGTTCATCAGTATTACAGAGCTCTCTCTCTTTTTTTTTCCCCCTCATCTCATGCAGACAGGTCACTGTGTCCAATCCTCCTTCTGGCATGGCTGTCCCTAGAGGACAGTTGGCCAGTCTGCCATCTTGATGCAAAGGCCTGAGGGTCTGGGCTGGCTGTATATTTCTATGTACTGACTTCTGCAAATATTACAGGACAGAAGATATTAAATTAGTTGTTAATAAAAACAACAGATGAGCAAAATCAGATAAAAATATTTAGCAAGCATATATAAGAGTTTGCTCGGAAGGGGAGAACACAGCTGAATAAAAGTGCTTATGAGTACATGGTCAGTTGGCATTGCTAAAGTACCAGTAGAAGAGGAAAGGAGCCAGTTTTAATAGCATGAGAAGTGCAATTTTCCTTACCAGTAAAATGGGTCTTTTTTTCCAAGGCAGATTTAGACAACTTAAAGTGCTTGGAAGTAGCACATTAGAAAGCAAATATAGTTGTTGAGAAAATGTTCAGTGTGTGTGCTAATGGCTCAGAAGGGAGGTACAGGTAACTTGCACGTTTGGCTTCACATTATCTCAGTACCTGTTTTCTCATAAGAAGATTTTAAAACACACACAAAATTTTGTTGTTCTAGTACCAAAACAAATTTTTACGTGGGTCTGCTTTTCCCTCCTCGATTCCAAAAGATAATTGACTCTAAGAATAATCTGCTTATTTAGAATACACTCATTGATACCCATTTATTTTGAATTTGACATATTTCAACAAATTCAGGTATTTAAATTGTAAACCCAGTTTTTTTTCCATTAAAAGGAAATTTATCAATATAGTAATGATATTTGAAATAATATTAACAGTAACTAAATGTTAACTAAATAACCAAAACACTAATTCTGTTCTTGAAACTAAATTTTCTTTTCTAAGGTCAGTTAATGAAACTTTCTTTATATATTATTAAAGCATCATATTCAATGCCTAAGAATTTAAAACTTCTGGGTTCATATCTCCAGACTATGGGGAGAGGTGGCTGAAACACCTAAAGTATAAATTTATATGATTGTCTGAATGTGACATGTTTCCTATTTATAAAATCTCTAGTACTTGTTCTGGAGGTGAGTGAAAGAAAACATTTTTTCATTGACCATTTCTTTGCCTTGTAAACTGCATTTTGTCACACAGTTTAAAAACATCTTTCTATTTTCATCTCTATTGTTTACCAAAATTAGAATTTAACTAACATATTTTCAAATATTGAAAAACTCCACTTTTCAATTGCATTGTGATATAAACTGTCACTTTTAAACATATGATTGAATGGAAAGTAAAATTTTGAAGTACAGTGCAAATATAAAAAGATCAGGCTTGAAGAAAAATATACAAACAAATATTGGTTATAATTTGAACATTAACAAAAAGTCAAAATTATACAGCTTGTAAGTTATTTGTATTTTGTGGTCAGACTTTTACTTAGGAGATAATAGCTGTTCTAAATACAATTTAAAGCCTGTTCTTATGTTCTTTTTCTGCCTTCCTCTTTTTTTTTGGTAGGTGAAATCCATGTCCAATAAAATAAATTACTGAGTCAAGCTTGTTCTGAGATCACATGAAAATTGCTCTGTTGGTTCATATTGTCTCTAGCTGGTCTAAAATTGTAACCAAAATTTGCACCAATTTCGCTTTTTACACATTTCTTCTGAATCTTAGATTGAATAAGGGTGTCTGAGAGACAGTCATTACATTTCAGTA